CCAAAGACTCCGGTCGTGGGCTGGGCAACCTGGCAGTATTCGGCCCACTTGCAAATCGTGGGGCATTTTTTTTCATAAAGAGTATTGTACCACTATTTGTTTGGTACACAGTATATATATTCAGGCACCTTATTCAGTCAAAATGTGGTGTAGCATGCAACCGGCACACCTTATTTCTTAACCAAGTTTTGCATCATCAACATTTGTAGAAGCTTTTTCAACATCCGTTGATTTCAGAATATTCCGATACCTTTTAATCCGTCTGAATCGCTTACTGCGCTGTGACTAAAGTTTGTGCGCCGAGGCTAGAGGACTACAGGTCGTGGCTAAAGCATTGCGAGTTTTCGCCAAGGGAATGTGGGTCAAGACTAAATAATTGTGGGTGTTAGCTAAAACACTTCTGGTTTTGGCTAAAGAATTACGGGTCAAGGCTAAAGGACTGTGGGTTTTGGCTAAAGCTTGATGGGAAATGTTGTAGTGGGTAATAAGTGGAAAAGTGTCTCGGGGGGATGACGTGATGAATGACCTGTTCACGAACTTTGTCTTTGTATACGTCGTGAACGGAAACGCACCAAGCGTGTTTCGTCCCTGATCTGATTCTGTGCGTGTGTGTGTGTGTGTGTGTGTGTGTGTGTGTGTGTGTGTGTGTGTGTGTGTGAATCACCTACCCCCCTCTAACCATCATTCTTTGTTTGGTACTCGAATGCTAGGACGAACGATGCTCGAGCGATTCACTCAATTCATCCCGCGTGGGCAGTGGCCGCAACTCACCCCATATCGCTTCCATAATGTCCCAGTCCGACTATGGCACGCGATTGGATCAAACACGGATATCCGATTCGCATCTGCGTCAACCAACTGGCACAGTCCGGACTGGGGGCTCCACAATGGACGACGACAACGAGAGCACAAACAACAACAATAGCACATCCCGAAACACCTCGGTAATCTCAGCCCCGGCTACCCCATCTCGAAGAGACCGATCACTTGTTGAGACACAATTGCGCCGCCGTGTCCTACGCCAGTCAAAACGTCACACCCTATCGGTCACTTCTGGACTTCAACAGCGCGGCCCAACGGACACGTTTCCCTCGGGCAGTTTTGGCACTCGACCGAATCGAGTTTTGCATGAGAGTATTTCGGAAATCCATAGTGTAAGTTGAGTTTATCTGATTTTCATTTGTGATCAGTTTACCCATTGATCGTTTGATTGATTCATTGTAAAATTAATTTATCATTTGGTATGAGGTACCTATGCCTTAAATCAACTAACGTTATAGTGTTGACACGCTCCGTTGCGATACAGTGTGGGAGTGAGGACGGACAATAAGTCTTTGTTGCGACTCTTCAAAAATGTCCATCATTGTGTCGTTGTAGGGACTCAAACCGCAAAGATCTGATTCTGGAGCCACAGACATGTACTGCCTCGCCTCCATCCGCGTAAAAACTGGAGTCAGCGGGTTCGTTGATTTAAGTTGTCTTTTTTTACACAGGTTGACGAGTCCCAAAACGGATCCAACAGAGTTCCAGTGATGTCGGTCGATAGACAATACATTTTGCCTCAGAGAAAAATAAGTGAAATCAGAGTAAAAACAGCAAAAACAAATGTAAACGTATGCACCGAGGCACTAGCCATTCAAAACCACCATTCTAAACCGCATGAACAGCGTGAGGAATGGCTTATCACTCTGGTAACAAACTTGGTAACAAATGTGTGTGAGTGATTTTGAGTGCAACCTTTCTCGACCTCCGATTATGTAATTTCTCACCATATATTAATGATTACATAAACTGCAGTATGCGCACATGTACAGATGTATGAAAAATATCCCAGACTAGTTTCTGCAAACCTGTGTTTTTGCATTCTCTTTTTCAAAGGCATATACATCCAGGTGTTGTGAGATTCTACTCACATTTGTGAGTAGCATGGTTGGAACGCGCAAAAGAATGCGACTGACAGTTTATCACAACATTGAAAATTGCACAAGACCTCCAATAACGAATTATTGTGTTCAAAATCGTAACTAAAGAAAATGTGCATCTACTGCCAAACAGTTCCATTAAAAATTATGCCGGTTTGTTGGAATTATGATAACCTATTCGAACTGAGACTTTTGTAATATGCACGCCAATTTACCGATACCCTTACCGTTGTTCATAATAAAGAAACCTCGTCGTCTCGGCACTGTCTTGTGAAGTTATAATACGAGTAGCAGCGTGTGAATGACTGAGCTCACCGTGGCAGCCCTTTTGGTGACATGCAAGCATATGTCCCAACCAGTGTAATCTATGAAGATCGACCACTCGCTCTAGTGGACGACCACGAATAAAACTCTAAAACTCTACACCTAATCTCAGCATTGTTCGTTCACCTACCCCACCAGATTCGTGCAATGCTGCGTAGACAGCGGTGTTCGAACACCACCGGTAATCTATTTTGATCATGTTCCCGCAATGGCCAATTCTCTGCACCGTACAGCAGCACTGGCCGAATTGCTGCAGCATGAACTCGACCGTGCATTAGACCGCCGGATGTCGCGACGCGCCAAGTTGGTAATCAACCCAATCGAATCATCAATATAGATATTCTGCCTAATAATATTAATAGTATGATGATTATTATTGATAAGATTAGTTCGACGATTCCCATATAAATATCATCTATTTATCGATCTGAGACAGACTTACCACACGAAAAAATTACATTTACTGGTTGTAAGAAGTGAATTGAAGTGAACTGAGCCGGAAACAGTCAAGGTACAATCGAGATGCTATCAAAGCTCCATCTATGGTCGAGCAGGGAAATCACACGTGTGAATGGGCATCATTTATCTATGGTGCATGCTCTCGGTTCATATCGCAGTCGCGTAAGACTGGGCGATCGGGTTTTGTTTGACTTACAGGAGCGGTGTATATCCCACCACCACCGGCGGCAGCGCCTAGTCAGTCTCGCATGAATTCGCCGTCCTTTCTAACTCAGCGCGTTAGAGCAAATCCATTTTGGGATAGGCATAGAGTTATGATTTACTTGGATAAAAATTCTGTGCTCCGTCCTCTTCCCTACATTTGTCTTGTTCTACGTACGATGTGACGATGATTGTGTCGCATTTGATGAGAGCTTACAATTTGGACAGAGGTTTTTTGTTATCAACTATCCTCGCGTGACAGACGATCCTGTTGCACACTGGTAGTAGTGATGTGCCGGGTTGTTTTTTCCCCTTTCCGCTGATTTTACATCCCGTTCATGCGCGGGTGTCTGTTTATCGCTTGAATAGATCTTCTATTCACTATCCCATTCGAGAGCCCATCGATGGCTGAAGGGATGAGAGACGGGAACGCGGAAGTGGTTTGAGGTATGGAATGTGTGTGGTACTATGGGATGTGTAAAGAAACTAAGATCAGAATGATACTAGCGTAAATCCACGGTATAATTGATGTGGTCATCAAATGGTGATGTGATTTCAAGGCATAACGATTTGGTTCGTACACGGATGTAATCATCTGTTTTGCACATGGAGGATTTGAATTTGTTCATTTGTTGTTGTTGTTGTTCGTTTGATCTCCTCCTCCCGTTGATCCAATTCATGCATTACGAGTTCTGGATCGATTACGTAACGTGTGTGTGTGTCTGTGTGTGACACGCATGTTGTAGTGCAGCTTATATACATGTCTCATTTATTTTTGTTGTTGGTGTTGTTAGTCGATCTGTGATCGATCAGGGAAAAGGATCAATCAGAATGGATCCGGAAGATCGGTCGTGTTCCATTCGATGCACGGCTAGTTACCACTGCTCAAATAGTACTTTGTCTCAAAGCCTGAATTGACTCATGCTAAAAGTCAAATGAAAGAATCGTTTTATGCACCCCGAGGGGTGAACATTCAGCAACCACATAACCACAGTATGTTAACAATTTAAAATAAAATGGGAAATACAATAGAGCAATTAAAAAAAGTAAAAACAGGCAACCACCACCACCACAACAACAACACAAAATCAAAGGCATACCACGGTATTTACCATCAGTTTAGATTGGCATTAGCCAGCCGGGTAAAACGCAAGCAAAAACAACACGCCTTATGAGATGATTTGAGATAGAAAGTGATTTAAGACGTAAAGCATAAAACATAAACCTTCTGACCTTCATGAAAACATTATTGACCAAGTGAGGTTATGGTTGAAAATAATACCAAGCTATCTGACAGACTTTTGTCGATCCATTTAAGACCATTTAAGATAGATAGAGGGGGGGGGCGGTTGGTATTTAACAGTTCGTCATACTTTTGGAGTTTCAAAAGGGAGAAATGACATCATTATTGAACATCAATTATAATTTCGAGTTACCTCTCAAATGTTCCGAACAGGGAAAATTTGATCACTGTGTAAACCCGGTCGTGTTCCATCTAAAGCGGTGTCCCTTTCCGGGCTATCGGCTTCTACGATTTCCACAGAAGAATCCCAATCGCGTCTTGATATCTGATTCATATCCGTGCAATTCTGTGAGTCGATTGACTCTGCCTTTGAGTGACCCAGGCTCGGAACACTGTCCCCGCTTCATTTCAATTTCTGCACCTAACTTTTCTTCTACTCCCAAACAGTATTCCCGGAATCCGTTTTTAGCTGCCAGATTTGATCATAATAAGCCGGGATTGGTTTTGTCCGTGTAGTGAACTTGTTCCGAACCAAGGCTAGTTCCTCCTGTATCACATAGACAGATGTACACTTTGATATGTGAGAGGGCCTCTTGAATTCGATTCGTAATTGAACTCGATTTTACATTTCCTCCCCCCTCTCTCTCTCNCTACACTACACACTGTATCCGATACAGCCTAAGCGATCCACAGACGATGAACAGGAACCGAATTCGGAGGATGTGTACAATCAGTCCGGTCGACATTATACGCTTCCTTTGAGCCGAAAATCCGCCCGATGCCCAGGCACAGAGACTAGTCTGTATCAGCCGACTCGTGCGACCAGTTCTGCCCGGCCACAACGTGCTTGCGCAAATCTAACCGCAACTAAATCGGCCGGGTCGATGCCTACCGAAAACACTGTGCGCAGGTAAGAACCCTCCTAAGTAGTTCTCTCTTCAGGTCACTGCCCTATCACGCTCTTAGATTGCAAACATTTTATCTTTGATCCGTGGATTCCCCCTCGGCGAACTACTGGAGATATTTCTTAATAATACTGATGTTATTAATATTAATAATAATAATAAAAATAATTCCAGACGGTAATTAACAACGCCTCGTACCTGTGTGAATTTAAAGGGCTAACTAAAACATAGCATTCTAAATGATGTGTTTCAGCTGATCAGTTGGGGATCGAATTCGATCAAATGATGATGGTGACTTTCTCCGTTTGCATGGCGAGTATGAACTGAAATACCGAGAAGCATTGGACAGCTGTGTCGGCCTGATTGAGTCTCATCAGCTGCAATGAGCGAATCCATCGGGCCCCAACTGAGGATAGTGACCTCACGGGTAGAATGTAAGCATAGCAATGAATATTGAGTGGATGATTTGATTCGCTCGCGTGATGAAGTTCGTTGTCGTCGTCGTCGTCATCTACATGGTGTATTTCGTCTTGTACAGAGAACAAAGGAAGCATTAACTAAAAAGTTACTTGAAACAATGGGTCCCTCTTATACAATTCGTTAGAACCGAGTGAAGACAAATACTGCGAGATGTTAACATTTCATTTAATCTCCTCAGTCGCCACATCATCACCATCATTGTACAGCGTAATACAGTGAAGCGAACTCCACTGATCGCTGTCAAAGTCATATTGCATACAACATAAATGAGAATGTGTAAGGAGATAGGGATTGGGCCTAATTTTAGGGACTGGAAAAGAAAGCGAACCTCTACGGTCAACACACAGTACACGGACCAACTGTGAATACATACTAGTTCAAGCATTCTGGACTGATAAGAAGTGACAGCATGATCGCCATTGCTGTCGGTTCGCAGCCATGACCTTCAGTGTCTCCAACCATGCGGTTTCGGAGTCTTTTGGACCCCAACCCGGAAGACGAGAGACACCTACTCTACCCAATTGCTCTGTGCATTTTTTAATTCCCCCTCTCCACGTCATCTGCTGGCCTCCATGTGGCTTTTTCCAGTCTGCAGCAGCCACTCCGAATAAGGCGCGCTATGGTAGACGACCGTCGGACATACGCAAAACGTATTCTAACCAACGAATCCTATTGAGTTCAATTCGATGTGATAGCGAGTTCTTGTTCGATGCATTCCCAAACACCCGACAATTTACTTCTAAGTTACTGACCCGCTCATTTCATCCCACTTGGGCCAGACTATATAAGCATCGATTGTCGAACACTGCTAAACGACGGTCGCCACAACGTTGACCCACATTTATCGTTCAAGCGAGGCGATATTAATCAAGTAACTTAACCCAATCTGGTGTGCACAAAAGTTTCTTACACAATCCGTCAGACTTCCATGGAGTTGATTTCCCAACCCCCACCCACTCCACCCCATCCCCACTGTCTTAACTATTGTCCATTGGAACCACTGAAATTATCAAAAATTGCTTTCATAAATACCAGCTTGTTTTACGTTATATCGACTGAAGAGAGAACAAAGAAATGTTAACATCTCGGTTTTAACGGATAAAAAAAAAATTATTGTTTTTTGGCATTTGAAATCACCTTTCCTTTGATCGGACCATGACGAACTTCGTTGTTTAATCGAGTGAACTTACCCACCATTCATTCGTAACAAACAATCCGGTTGTGATTGTTTGCCGGGGTTTGAAACTCGCAGTTAATCGTCCGTATACCAATACATATCTCTAAAAATACATATAATTGACAGTATCATTCAGACGTGATTCACATCTCATTTAGAACTGGTTTTCGTGCGTATGATCACATTGTTGCATTTATCAGCTGCTTTTCAACTCACTGGATAATTATGAGTGCAAAGAGATTTTCAAATGGAACAAGACGCGTTCGTCACTTCCACCGGGTAGTTTGGCTCCACCTTGGGAGGTGAACATGCCAACCAGGTTGGATGATGATCACAATCGTGCTCGTGCATACACTCCACGTACCCAGCCCCACCGGGACAGGTAAACGCATGCGCACAGAATGAAGCTGTAGAATCTGTGTAACAGTGCCTTACTGTTTAATGCACTCGATAGTCTTCCGTGGATGATTCACACTTCTGTGTCAAATTGAAACCGAGGGAATGTGGACAGATTGGAATTATTGGAATTGTACTCCTTGTTGTCTCCAACACACCTCAGGGGATGGGGAGGGGGGCATTTCGTTCAAATTAATGCCCCAAAACTGTAGCCTAGGCTACCGACGTCATTCATTTGTCGTCAGAGTGTGCAGTATTTGGAATTCTCTATCACTTCGTGTTGTTTCTGTGCCCACAATTGATTCTTTCCAGCACAAACTGGATGAAACTTTGAGAAGTTTTTGCATTTCAATATCCGTACCAGCAGTGTATGAAACAGAAAATTTGTGACATTCTTTATCTTTCCATGAATTGTATATCGATCCAGTCATGGGAAGAACCCTATAGGACAGGGGAAAAACAACTGGTTGTAAGTATTTCCCATAATAAAACTTAGACTTTAACTTTGACGGTGATAGTAGTCCAAATAGCTGATCGAATAGACATACCTGAATTTAGCTTTCGTATCCATCTGTTCAATCTTTTTGGGTTGGACAGCAAAATTTCGCTACTCGGAGACTGACACATGACACGTGAACGCACAAAGCTCCGTGAATCTGAGGTGAGCTCGCCAATCGATTCACTCAGATCGACGCATTTTCCAGGTCTACTTCGCAATAAACCTATCCCTTTCCTCTGTGACCAGTGTATCATGATCTCCAGACGATTTCCTTCACCCAATTCCTTACTTTTTTCAAACTGTCCCCCATCCGCTTTCGTTTTTGGGCTCACGGAGGAGCGGTGAGCAAAAATTTCGGTGTTCCTGTTGCGTTTAGAGAAAAAAACGGGAGCAGCTTATGTAAACACGATTGACTCGTGTGCAAATGCACAGTACGTTGCGTGGGTATCCCGCTCACGGTGTGAACCTCCGCGGTCCCGGCCTCTGAGCCACCCACGCTCGTTCCATGCTGTTCGGACATCGATTTCTCAAATCACGTTATCCGGCAGTTTTATTGTCTGTCGTTTCAGATCGTTCCTCGCCTGACTCAAGCCACGTAGATCGATCATCGATTAGTGTAATTGTTGGCATGCCTGCTGGTCAGTTATTTCCGGTTGCACTGACTGCTTTTCCCGTCGCGATGATTAATGTGCGCGCGTGTGCGCGTTCTGGGTTGTGTTTTTACAGACAAAATAGAAGCAAATTAACCACTTGGCAATCAAGCTGATCACAGCTGTCATTCGCAATGTAGCACGGAGGCGCACGAGAGCTTGTAGCACACACGTTTATCTGCGGGACGGATACACACACCGTGGAGGGACTTTTGAATTTTAATTGTGCTTTTCTACCTTGCAAATGTTCGTGCTCGGGAATGACAATGGTGGAGTGTCGTGGGCTTTTTTCTCTGTCCGGCCCAGTCACCCGTGATAAGGTGTGTGTGGTTTATGCCGTGAGCAATCTGCACGGTCTGACAGCATACCCTGTCGTTTGACGAATCCGCCACGCGTTTATGATGATGTTGTGGTCAGTAATTTTTATTATTGACCGTTGAGAGCCTCAATGTTTCTTCAGTCGGTTTCGTTATTTCACTTTGGTGTTAAGCATCTACCTCTCACCTACCTAATTCAATCAACCACATCCACTCGAAAGGCTTTTGTGCCAAGTCAGTTACCTTCCATCTTTTC